CATTTTCCCAAATTAACTATTTTAGTATCCTGAACTAATTTGTTCTTCAACATTACATTTGATACCAACATGGTCACTGTTAAGTTTTGAAATTCATAAACACCAGATTTGTTTTAAAAAATAACAAAGTTGTGATCTACGTATCTTATGAAATATAGTTTTAAACTGCTCCGGACAATTGAGGCCTGGCACATCCTGGTGGTTAGGGCGCTTGATTCGCAATCTGCAGTTCGTGAGCTCCAATCTCCTTCACCAAACACGCTCGCCCTTTCAGCAGTGGAGGCGTTAGAACGTGACAGTTAATCCTACTATTCGTTGGTAAAAGAGTAGCCCAAGAGCTGGCAGTGGGTAGTGTTGACTAGCTGACTTCCCTCTAGTTTATCACTGCTAAATTAGGGACCGCTAGTGTAGTTAGTCCTCATGTAGCTTTGCCCGAAACTCAAAACAAACCAAACAATTAGGGCAATTGTCTAAACCAATTTTTATCATGGTAACTTAAAAACAGATTAGCTAATTATATGCCACCCTTGATTTCATAGAAATTTCATCTATTAACACATAAGAACAGCTGTTAAGAAAATGAAAACGAATTTTTCGCAACATGTTGCAATAGATTATTAAAAAATGTTTTTAATTAGTGACGCGCATGAATGTAATAACGACATTCCCACTGCCTCTATCTACAATCTAGTGAAGCCACAGTCAAGGAAACGGGTTTGGAGAAATCAGCGGGGAAAGGTCAATAAAAAACGATTCTTTCTCATCAAAATGCACTCACATGGTAATAAAAAAAACTACAAGTTAATCTATGGGTACCTCAAACGGTTCTGTACTGCAAATTCAACTTGACCAGAGCTGGCAGCGTGTGTCTGTTTGCATTATATATCAATAAGTCTAAATGTGTTCTTAGAATTCTTAATTTGGTGTAGCTAAGTTCAAGTACAATACACTCATAAAAGTTGTGGGTTTCTTGGCTTCATGCGAAATTTTCCATGAGAACATATATACACACATGTATATGTATACACTGGTTCAGTACTTCCCAGAAACCATTTCCAGTGTGCCTTGTCAAGCCGGTTTCGCTAGGGATTCGTAAAATCAACCATCTCGTCCATTAGACTACTCACACTAAAATAAATATTTTCTTTTATGTATTTAAATAGGCGATGAAGTGGAATGTGCGGGGATCGTTGGCTGTCTTTGCTGGTTTTTTAATTCATGTGACCTTAGGTCATTATTTGACTTTTGGAAACATGAACACCTATATCACTTCGTACTTACGTCATCGGATTGACATTAGCATCGGCTACAGTCGATCCATATGGATTAACGCCGTATGCCTGATGGGTCGTGGACTTGTCATGATGATGGGAGGTATGCTTGGCTCTCGTTTTGGAGCGCGTTGGACTTGCGCCTTGGGCTGTTTCATTTTTAGGTAAGTTTACATCAAATTGTTGCCCAAGTTTGACAGTTTTGTTATGAAGTAAAATTTGTTTGCATCTTATCAGATGAACGAACTGATTATCCTCTGTTTATATATATCACTTTTGTATTTTTTACTGATTGTGACAAAAAATATAGCTAATAGTTTTCTCTCTTACACTTTAATCCAGGTCAGCAAACAGAACTAGCTAGTGACATTAAGCGTCTTTGAATATTAACAAGGTTTAGATGTTTAATTAATAACCACAGTAAAGAAGGGGGCTTCATTTTTCGTACTGTAAGTTACATTTCTTATGTTTTATTTGAATGCGAATGATATAGGTTTATATGATATAAGATTATACCAAGGTAATCTGCTGACACACGTAGTAATTAGGTTAGTGTAAGAAACGGGGATGACTGGAGTTCAAAGTTACAAACTACATAAATACAATATTAACATAATGATTAAGCTGAGTTTAGAGAGGCAAAGTATTTATATAAAGTTACATAAATAGGGGAAACAAACGGGAAGAACGTGTATTAAAGAGGTCAGTTTTGTAGAAACTTGTCTGTGTATGTTGAAAGAACTAACTCGTTAATGGACAAATACATTGAAAAGTCAACAATTCAAAACGCATTTCACTTGCCTATTAAAAATGGTTTTACTCGATGTTATCACTCGTTAGTTTTATATTTTGCAACATATATAAAAACGTTTTAGTCAAAAATAAACTGTTGTTATAACTGTCACGCCTACATTCAGGGTTTTACATATTCATTTCGGCTCTTATTCAAACGTCTATTAATTGTTATAATTATAATAATTGCAGGATGGTATTTGGTAGAGCTCTTGTATTTTGGAGTTGGCGAGTATGATTCGAATATGTGCGATACTATAAAATCTTCTCTGCACTTTCTGTTGTGGTTGAGATGTAAGAGTGACAATCAGTGGATGGTAGGTAATAGGATTCTGCTGATTGGCTTCTGTGAGATGTCCAGTGAAGGCCTTCGTGAACCTCTGACCACTTAGTTGTTTTGCTGTGTTGTGGTAAATATATTATTAAATGAAATAGTCTACATTATTATCCATGATGCCTTTCCATCTTACAATCAGGTTGTTAACGCCCTGATTAAAGAAATCACTTGGCTTTGAACGAAAACATGCCGATGTCCTCTTTAACACCTTCCATATTTGCATAAGTTTTCCTATTAAGATGGTGTTGCGACGAACGAAAAAGATGGTAGTTTGATGGTGCCATAGCTGGAGAATATGGTGGCTGGGGGAGAACTTTCCAAACCAACTCTATAATCTTGTGTTGCGTCAAACGTGCCACATGTGGACGTGCATTGTCCTGGAGAAGAACACCTTTCCGATTGACGAATGAAGGGCTTGATTTAAATATTCCAATTGATGACTATATATCTCTGCATTGACAGTTCGCTGTGGATTGAGGAGTTCGAAATGAATTACTCCTTTGATGTCCCACTAAATGTAAAGAATCATTTTCTGCGGATGAAGTCTAGGTTATGGGGTTGGAAGTGTTTTTTGTCTAGGACTGAGCCATTGTTTTTGGCGTTTAATATTCGCATAGAGAATCCATTTTTCATCACCGGTGACAATTCTGTCCAAAAATGGTTCACACAAAACAACGCTCACACGTTGGAAACGATTATCATCAGAGAGTTCGTGAGGCACCCAAACACCTTCTTTAGTTTCCCATATTCCTCAGATGTTTACATATTGTTTCGTGAGAGACATGCAATTTCAGGGCCATTTCACGAGTGTGTTGCCTTGGGTTAGACTCAACAAGCGTCTTCAGAGCATCAACATCAATTCCAACATGTCGACTCCTGCCATCACAGTTTTTAAGGTTAAAGTCAGCTGAACGAAATTTGCTGAACCATCGTTGACACTTACGAACGTTGAAAACATTTCCATAAACTTTTTAAAAATTCTTTGTGGTTACATAGACGTTGTTTCCTTTCTTGTATTCAAACAGCATTACATGCCGAATGTGTGTGTCTCGTCGTGTACAATCACTATAAGAGATTAGAGTATACTTAACATCACATATTATATAGGCTACACTAACGTGACGTTTAGGCGGTTCGTTTAACTATTATACGTGATGTTCGTTTTATGGGGGGTGGTTAATGAAAGTGTTCCAAAACGCGACATTAATTTCTTGACGACCTAACAGTTTCATTGTCGTGTGATAGGCAATAGCAAGCCTGCATTAAAAATTATGAATTATTGTTTGTTCTTTTCGTGAAAGTAAACCTTTGACATTTGGGTGACTAAACCACAATGACCTGCCTTTACAGTTAAGAGAAGATTATAACTTAAAACATTTTGTGTTTCTGTAAACTGAGCTTTCAAACTGTAGTTACAGTTAAAACTACACCATTAGTGATTACCATTTTACTCTACAAATTGTCACTTAGTTTATTGGTATAAAAATAATGTGTTTTGTGGTACTTTTAGTACAGCATTCGAAAACGTAGTATCGTGAGGAGTAGCCAACACTGTTCGAGATGTTTTCATCAAACATGTCAAAGTTACGAAAGAATCAGACCATTAAGTGCTTGGTCCTTTTAAAAATGTTTTGTGTGATGATACAGTCTGGAG